CCCCAAAACCCCAAAACCCCAAAACCCCAAAACCCCAAAACCCCAAAACCCCGAAAATTATGACAATTATTGATAATATTTTTATACATAATCAAAATGGACAAGAAAACAGCGAAAGCTTTAGAGAAGCAAGCTGAAGAGGAGAAAGAGAAACAATCTCCTCTTCCGAATTTAAGTGAGATTGCAAAAAATAATCCTGATACCTCTCCTGCTGAATGTAAAGATGTATTGCTAATGAGAATGGTCACTTGGCTGAGAGACTCTCATGCTCTATTCGACTATGAAAGCCGGCAAATTCAGAAGAAGAACATATAAAAGTTGACCACTCGTGTAAAATCATCAGACAGAAGGATGAAGTGAACACTGTGGGATCGACGTACAAGCCCGAAAGCGATGACGAAGCAACCCATTTATTTTCAATCATCAAAGACGACAAAGGCGACTATTTCATCGACACAGAGAAAGTGCATGCCACTGAAAAGCTCTGGCTTGTCGTCAGAGCCATGAAAAATGACTCGAAGAAGCTGAGCTACGAGCTTCGAAAAGGAGACATCATCAAACTAGGAAGAATCCAGTTCAGAGTCAAAGATCTCCAAACTCCGACGATTCCTAAGAACGACCCCAAAGTAGTGGAGCCCAACGAAGACATTGCGGATGTCAGGGCGGCTCTTTATGAGAACGAAGATGCCAATGAGGACGATGATAACTCTAGCGGCATCCAGTGCAGGTTCTGATGGGGTAGCTTGTGAACAGCTGAAAATCCTTTGATTAATATATGAAATTGAACCGGTACTGTCAGGTACATCCATCTTCAGTGTCTGAAAAGGTGGGTGAAGTCAAAAGTGAAGCCAATTCAAAATGAGAAAATGAGAGAATGATTAGAGTCCTTCATATGGAAAACATTCGAATGAGAAGTCTGCAAAATTAGATATTCTTCCACCCTCAGACATAATGACAAATTCTTCAATATCTTCGATCTCGATGTGCCTGATGGCTCTTTCTGCATCCTCGAGAGTATTTCGATGCAGAAATAATTCTTCCAAGATGATATACGTAATGAAGCCAAATGCACCATCAATGAACTTCAATGTTGGAAGAGGAGGTGACTCTGATATAAGGATATCTGATATTTCTGTCTCTCGGCTTCATGCAAAAATCAAATTTGAGGATGGAAAATTCATGCTTGAAGATAATACATCAAAGTTTGGAACCCTTGTTCAGATCAAAGATAAAATTGCAATTACTAAGAACCACACCAGTGCTGTCCAATCGGGAAGAACTGTAGTTACTTACCATCGTTGGGCTAAAGATTTCCCTCCAAGGTTGCCAGAAAAATAACCTAAATAATTGTATGTTATAAGATTGCAAAAACTGCTTCTTTATTTGCCGGTCGACTCGAACCTCAGCCTGCCAATTAGAAGGACTGGCACTTTATAGGCATCTCCAATAAATTATTATTTAGGCAATTATAATGGGGTTTTGGGGTTTTGGGGTTTTGGGGTTTTGGGGTTTTGGGG